GTATAAAGCAGTACCTCAGAAAGTAAGGAAACATTTCCAATTATCCAGAAAGAAGAGACAATGACCTAAATTTAAGGGGGGAAAAGAAAAAAGGAATGGAGTTCAATCAATGGCTACAGAAAAGATCTCAGACTCAGCCTTTTTTCTAGGTGCTGAAAAACATGGTATAGGAACAGCAATAAACTCCTTCTCATAGTCTACTGCATTTCCTGTGTGACATGGAAATGGAGAGACCTACTAAAAGATACAAAGCTCTAGAATAATGTGAGCTTGGGCTGTGCAGTTGAAACCCACTGCTATATAGGTGAAAATCTAAGCCACAGCAGTTGATAAGAACTCCCAGAGAAAGCACTTAAGAAGAGAGCCAATACCTGAAACCTAAGTAGTATCAAAACCAAGGTAAAACACAAAGAAAGAAATTCCAATCATATACATAATACACTGGCCACAATCATAGAAATCAAATAATGTGTCAGCATTTTCACAGTGGAGAAAACGAAAGGCATGTCACCGTACTGGCACTTAGTGTCGAAAAGGGAGCTGCAGTACTGCCCACGTCCAGTACAGTCGTTTGCCTCTGTAAGATAATGTACAAATAAATTTAAGAACTTATTGAGATTCGATATTTAAATGAGATATCTCAAAAATACAAACATGGTCTAATTATAACTGATGTCTCATGGGATAAAAAGTTATACATGCTCCATTTAACTTGGTTTCTCACACATATATGTATGCTCTAAAATGTTAAGATATTCACATATGTGGGGCTGGGAAGATGGCTCAGTGGTTGAGAACACTTGCTGTTTTTTCAGAGGACAGGGTTCAACTTCTCAGCACCCATATGGTGGCTGACAACCCTCTCTTCTGGCCTCTGCAGGGCACTGCACACACGGTGCACTTACATACATGCAGGCAAAATACTACTACTGCTAAAGTAGTAGAGACTTGTATTCTCAACACAAATAAATGGCAAATGCCTGAGGTGACAGATGTGACAATTACTGTAATCTGACCAAATTTGTACGTGTAGAATCACGTTAACCAAAAAGGTGACAGTTCAGCTCTGGGACTGTCAGTTTGACGGTCACCTCCTCCCTCACTACCCATCATCAGCACACCACCTTCCCTTAAAAAGTTTAAATATGCCCAGCGTGGTGGTGCATGCCTTTAATCCCAGCACTCAGGGGGCAGAGGCAGGTGGATCTCTGAGTTCAAGGCCAGCCTGGTCTACATAGTGAGTTCCAGGACAGGTGGAGCTACAGGGAGACTCTGTCTCAAAAAGACAGAAAAAAAAAAGTTTAAATATATAACTGTGCCTCTATTTTGAGAATCTAGTTAACAGATATTAGCGCATTACAAAAATGAAGAGGAGCGATAATGTAGGAAAAGGGAAAATTAGCAAAAACAAAAGATGAATCAAAAAATTTCAGCTTAAATGGCAAAAATTATAGTGTTAGGAAATACAAATACTCTACGGTTTATTGTATTTTAAAAGAGAACCATTTATTGGAAACTGGAGTAAACTATTAAGGAGCACATTTCTCAATGCCTTTCTAAAAATCATTATAGAACAAATGTAGTCCAGCAAAAAGTCCTGCGGAATCTAAGGAAAAGCACTAAGCAGATCCCAGAAACACCTATTACCATTTACACTCTTGGTGCACATCACTTCATGTCTTCTTTTAAAATACAGACTTAGGGGGCTGGAGAGAGGGCTCAGCGGTTAAGAACACTGACTGCTCTTGCAGAGGACCCGGGTTCGATTCCTACCACCCACATGGTGGCTACGAACCTTAACTCCAGTTCCAGGGGAATCCGATGCCCTCTTCTGACCTCCACGGCATTGCACAGCACAGGTGCACTCACATACATGCAGGCAATACACTTATACACATAAAATAAAAAAAATAAGAATTTTTAAAAAAAAGATTGGGCTGGAGAGCTGGCACAGCCGTTAAAGGCTCAGGCTCACAACCATAAAACAAAGGTGTGTCAAACTTTAATAAAAAAAAAATACAGACATCCTCTGGACACATGACTGACTTATCCTTAGAGTGAAAACAAGCCTGCGAGGCCCTGTGTGCCGCCTGCCTGGCTCTAATAATCTGCCTTTTACACTGGCGTGGAGAACTGCTGCTTGCTCCCTTCTGGAAGAGCACTAGTGTCTACTGGAGGCAAAGCTTACTTTCCAGCTTCTAAGGAAATAATCTGGAGAACTTTTCCAACATGGGAAAGAAGAAATATCTGAAAGGCTACGTATTCATGAGTGTAATAACCCACTTGCATCACTTTCAAACTGCTATAAATTCACCTGAGACCTGAAAACACTGGACAGTTATAATGATGCTATTTTTAAGCAATGAAAACTTAAAAAAGTCAGCATTATATCCAATTATCTCTGAGCTCTGGATATAAAACATGGGAATGTTTTATAAAACAAAAGAAGTTATATCCAACATTAAATTTCTTACTGTATTCAGAATATGCATCCTCACATTTACACACAAGTGTACCTCTCACCACTCATCAAAGAAACTTCTTTTTGCAACTCAAGCATACTATAACAGAGGTCCACAACTGTTCAGTTCCAGAGTAAGAGTCTAGGAGAAGCTTAGTCCTAAGTGACACATCTAATGATCCTCTATATCTAAGTCTCAGGCAGAAGAAAAATATTAATGCATCTCTCAACTCTCACCAGTGAATCTTCCTTTTGCAACAGATGGTGATTAATTTTCAGAAAGACATAAATGGTCAAAGTGCAGAGAACAAAAGACTGCAGAGGGCTTATCCTTGAAGAGAATATCTATATCAAACTTCTGCTACACAAGCCTCAGGCACCACTGAGGAAGAAGAGGGGAGAAAAAAAAAAAAAAAAAACAGAGCTGGAGAGACAGCACGGTGGTAGAGCACTTACCTACCATGTACAAGGCCATGGTTTTGATCCCTAGCAATGTAAGCAAAAAATAAAAATAAATACATAAATACATAAACAAATAACCTAAAAATAAAGTGTCAAACAGTGTCATCACCTTAGGAGTCTGAATATGGCAAAAGTGAAAGTGCGGGGGGGGGGACAAGAATGAGTGATTTCTTTCATCAAGAGTCATTTAATAGTTTTTAACATTGCTATCCTTGTGAAGCAAACAGCATCCAAATTCCAAAGGACTCTATGTGTATTTCCTAAGAAACCACAAAATCACCTGCTGACAAACATAGAACACCACTGTCTAAAAGTCAGAGCCATGATTTGGGTGATCGTGTTATGAGAGCACCATCCTTGTAAATCATCATGAATTTCGTTTTTTTCTTTTTTAATGACATGACAGTGAATTACTTTTCAGGATCAATAACCTGTCAAACTTTAAGGAGAGTATCTTTTTTAAGATAGAAACAACAAAAAACAAGGGGAAACCCCCACTAAAATATCATTTCATGGTACTGGGGACATGGCTCAACAGTACAACATGTACCTAGCATTTGTTGGGTTCAGTTCAAAAGAAAAGAAAGCTCTATAAAAATTCACATTTGTTTAAGCTGAACATGGTAACACATGCCTATAGTCCCATACTGTCTGGAAGCTGAAGGAGGAGAATCAACTCAAGACCAATCTGGGCAACACAGGAAGACCCCATTTCAAAAATAAGGAAATAAAGTAAAATATCCTATTTTTGAGGTCTTAGCATGTCTCCAAATTATGTATTCGGCTTCCTTGTTCCTGCAGGTGAAAAGTGTAACTTTTGAAAACGGGTATAAAGAAATAGATGTTGACTGTTTGGTCTGCTTTCTGAGACACGGTCTCCCTCTGTCACCCTGGCTGCCCCACCTCAGCCTTTCCAGTGCTGGAACTATGCAGATGTGCCACCTTGCCCAGTTCACCTTATCTCTAATCCAAAGGTTTTCATTTATACAATTATGCTTTTCTACCTCAAACAGGTTTCAATTATGTAACACTCCTAACATTCTTACAAACATTTATAGAACATTCAGATAAAATTCTCTCTTAAATCCAATATTAAAATTTGATTTTTAAAATTTTCAGAAGAAACCTATGCTAAAGGCCACACAGTGTTACCAGGTCAGAGCCCTGAACTATCTAAGTGGGGCAAGATCATGGCCTGCAGCTAGGATCTGATGCTTTCATCAGGCACTATCTCAACAGAAAGATTAGAAATACTTCTCAAAATAATTTTTTTTGTACAACCACTATAATTTGATCATGGTAGTATGACCGTGGTAGTACAATCAAAAGCCAGCCTATAAGAATAAAAATAACTAATTTAAATTTGTTGTTATCCACTAAAATATTTTTAATAAGCACTTAATAGCCCCTTTCAGGATTATGGAGACAGCTCTGAAAATTTTTGATACAGAATTCTTTATTCCTTTGTAGCAAAGTTTGAGAACTGGTAGTTACTGTTAACAAGAGTTGTGTCAGATGGTCTGCGTCAAGTATTGAATAGATACTGACTCTCAGCTAACATGAAAATATGACGTGGAGCTCTCTATAGTAACAATGGCACATCCTTAAATTGCCTAATTCTTAAATCAAAATTTTTAGCTGGAGGTTATATCAATTAAAATAATTTCTAGCTTCAGGCTTCCAATATCTGGACAATGTCCACATACTCAGTGTTCAATACATTTTAAAGGCACAGACATTACAAATCTCTACAACTACAAAGCACAGTGTGTTGCTGTCTTCCCATTTGACACACTAATATAACACTGTTCCACCTGCCTTTTCTAGTTTGGATATTGGGACACTAGAACTAGAAAACCCATACTGTCATAACTGTCATAATGAAGCTCAACTTCAAAAGTCTTTCCTTTTTAAGTTTTTTAAAAGTGAGAAAGTCGTTAGGTTAAAGCTAAAATTATAGCTAAAGCGTTAATTTCGCCTGTAATGAAAATACTAAAAACAGACATTCATGATTAAATACTGAAGACCTGGGGAATTTAAACAAAGCAGAATCCACGGTTACCATATTTACACATACTCTTTGTTGTGTTTCAGTGCCACATGATCTGATTCAAAGTAATACACATCAGGGTCATCCTCCTCCTCTTCTGCAGTGTGCTGACTGGCACTCTCTTTGGCAGATGGCAAATGTCCAATATTCATTCTTGCCTCTGGGTGTGGCTTACTTAGTCCTCCGCTTCCATAGTTTTGGGGGTCACAACATACAACTTTTTCATTTTGAGAAATTTCAACAGGATTTGTGAGAGACTCACTTACATTATCACTAACAGTTGTATTTGTTTCATTGGGACTAAGATTGTTCTCCTCAAATTGTCCGTTTTCTCTGCAAGGAGAGCTGTGCTTAGTGGGGCTGCCTCTGGTAGGGGCCGCCCTTCGCGGTGAAGTCCTCAGCGTATAGCGATGTTCTTGAGGTTCTGATAGAGACATCATCTCAGCTGCAGCACAGTCTAGGGCAGATGGTGGTTCTGGTGCTCCGGAGACTGGCATTCTTTCAGGCTCTGTGTCCAGGGCTTTACCAGTGTTTTCATTACACTGCTCTTTGGAGGCACTGCTATCTCCCACCACATCTACTTCCTCCTCAGAATCTCTTACAGAGGACTGGATTTCAGCAATAGGGCCTGAAGCTGGCCCAGCAGTCAGCTGATTAAGATGTTCCACCGGCAGGCGGGCAGTCACTATTTTGTGGTCCTCCAACTTGACCTGCACGTCTGACTGTGTGCAGGGCACGCCACGCTCTACATAACTGTCCCCCTTCCTACTATCAAGGACCACTGAAGTCTGGGTTTCCAAATGCCCATCTCCAGCTAATGATTTCTCCCGCAGCACACAGGAATCAGTGCTATCTTGTCTACTGTTCCAGTCAGGCTGACAGTCATCACAGTTTATAACAGCTGAATCACTGTCATCAACACCATTGATAGCCAAATAGCCTGTGATTTCTTCAACTACTGCAGAGTTAAGCGGCCCTTCCTCACTGACATTCACCTTTTTAATTTCCCTTTTCTCACAACCATCCAGTAGAAGACATCGACAAGCTCGTTTAGTCCCTTCACACTCTGCATCATTGTCCACTACTGTCCTCTGTCCTACTGACTCCTTGTCTGACTTTATAGGAGAATCTTCTTCTGAACTGTTTGCTGCTTCAGATCTAAGACAACGTTTAATCCTTTTTAAAATTGGTGACACAGGTTCTGTTTGCCTTCTCTCACAATTTTCTATGGACTGCCTTTCTATGTTATCCTTTTCTGAAGAAGAAAGTCTTCTCTTCCTAGGGCTTACCCATGATTCTCGAGCACTCTGCTGTTTTAAATCAGAAGCTCTTCCATTCGTATTTCCTTTCTGGATTTGCCCGGGCTCTGGTCTCTTCTTTGGTGATCTTGATCGTACTTGGGAATGAGAAGAGATTTCTTCTGGGTGAGCAATGCTACGATTCCTTAAAGTTCTACCACAAAAAGATTCATCCAAGCCGTTTAACCCCACTGTTGATCTTGTAACACGAGTAGATCGGGAAGCAGCCATACTATGGCAAGTCCCTACCATACGGTCATCATGATCCACTCATTGGGAAACCTTCAAAAATGTAAACAAAATAATGAGAAAAAAGGTAATAGTTAATATATCTAAAACAAAAGTATAAAGCTGTAACTTTATCCAAGTATAGCCATTATTAATAAATAATGGGACAAAAGTTTATTAAATTTTCCAACAATGATATAAATGACAGCAAACAATTCTAGGCCAGTTAACATGCTCTAGAAACTGATTTTTATGTTTAACATGCCCTCATTCACTGATGTCTCACAACTCAGACAAATACCATCATCATTCCTACTTTACAAATGAAGGACTTGAAGCACAGACAGCTTAAATAGCCTGCTGACAGTTCTAAAGCTAGTTCATACAGGACTCTAGAACCATGTTCACCGTTGTATCTGCCTTTCAGATGAGCACAAAGTAGCCAGAAATGATCTATCTCAAGATAAGATTTCATTTTGGTTACTAAATAACACCCTTGAAGCCATACAACAGGTATCTTACAAACATTATTCCAATCATTCTAATGCTTTTACTAAATGGTTTAAGGCAAATCCTGTGATAGTCATTTGGCATACAAAAATTCTGGCTGCAGTAGAATCTTTCTGTCCACATAAGTGGACAGAAGTCCCAACACTGGCTTGCACTGGCTAACAACACAGCAAATCAAAGCTTCAGAGTCTCTAGAGAAAGCCATGCCACCAAGTAAAAGACTTGGGAGGCAGAGGCAGGCGTATCTCTCTGAGTTCAAGCAAGGCCAGTCTGGTCTACAAAGCAAGTTCCAAGCCAGCTGGGGCTACGGGGAAACCCTGTCTCAAAAAGACCAAAAAAAAAAACAAAAAACAAACAAACAAAAAAAACCCAGATTATTTTAAGAAGCTAGAAGAAAACAGGAACTACCCTGAAAGGAATAATTACACTTAAGAAATTAGGAATATGTAATTCATCTCGTGCAGGAGCACACACACATACAGTGTACACACACACACAAATTGCTTCCCTGCTTACACTCACTGATAAATGAAGTGAGAAGAGTGCTCTGTAAAACAGGTAAATTGTTTGAGCTTAGCTTTGTTTTAAAGTTTGGCATATTTTTAAGGCTTTCCCCAGTTCCTAAAAAAAAAAAAAAAAAAAAAATCAGCCCTGGAATTAAAGCACAATTATTTATTCTAGAGAATTTTATAGAAATCAAGTTAATAGCAGGTATGGGAACATGGAAACACTCTCCTGGTAAACTTCTACTGACCGGAGACTGACTGAAGCAATCTCGGACATGGAGTTCGCTTTTGCTGGTCTCATCACCAAGCTGACACTCCTGTTTTACTTTAATAATAATAATAATAATAATAATAATAATAATAATAATAAAACACTGACTGTTCCAAAATTTCCTTTTTCGGTTACAATAAATGTAAGGTAAACTTCAAATGTTTTAAAGAACATAAACTGAAAAATAAGAGGCAATTTATGATGTACCAAAATCTGGAACTCTTTAAGTCTGAAAGTTAAATCCTAAATATCTATGTAAATAGGAATAGAAAACTAATAATAATTTTCTAAACAAGGTATAACATCAAATGCGAATTTAACTACCTTTCATAACATGTAGTTCAGATGGAATATCAGCAACCTGGCAAGCACTACTTTTAAAAAGCAATGCCACTTAAAGGCATATAAGCCTCTTAAATGATTTCAGTAACTAGCCTTCCTTAACCATTCTTTTCTTTCCACACAATCTGAATAAGAGCAAAACTTGTTTTATAATACAAACTTCCACAAGAGACGATTGTGAATGTAATATATGCTATTAATTCATAATGCTATGAATTACTTTAAAAAAAGTGTGTATATATGCATACACATACACAGGTAAATGAAAATCACTATCAAACACCACCTAGAAAAGCCCTATTGCCTTTATCACGTCAGTTATAAACCCAAAACACTGATTTGTATGAAAGATGTTTTTTGTCCCCTAAAAAGGGTTTTAATTCCATTCAACAACCACAGTAAATCCCAACTATTGGGCTGTAGTTATCAAGACCCTGTCTTAAGAGAGAACTAATAAACTAAACAAACAAAAAATCTATTTTGCAACAAAGATCCTCCGGTGCTAAAAATGCTATAATCTGAAGAACATCATCAGAGCACGTCTCCAAAGCTTGTTAGAAATGCGGAATGGGCACTGCAAGTGTAGCCTGGTGATCTGCCTGCCTGCCTAGAATGCCCAGGGGCTTCATACTCAGAACAGAAGAAACAGAGGCAAGAAGGAAAAAAGAAAGAAATACAGAATCTTAGTCCCTAACGATTGAGAGATTCATTCATTCATTCATTCATATGTGTGTGTGTATATGAATAAGAAGCACTGTCTTAAATCATTTCATTCAGACTAAATCAAATTTCAAACCAAATTAAATACAATATTGTCTTTAAGTACTTGGTAGGTCCTCCTGACTAAAGCATCAAACAGTATGTTGTACAGTGACTTTGAATGGAATTAACGTGTTACATACACTTAAAAGCCTGAAGTGATGAAGGCTAGAGTAAAACAAAATCTGAACAGTCTCCCCTCTGCTGTTCTTCCTCCTGTCTCTCCTATTTTTGGATAAACATACATAAAGTATACATGCTCTTTGCAATTACCTGATAACTGAGTACAAAGCCATTTATCAAAAAGGGACCTTAACCTAAAAATGTTTGCATTACTGCCAAACTTATTAGGAAGTTCTACAGACTAAGGCTGTTGATTTCCTCACTTTAGTCAAATATAAAGTCACTAAAGAATCCAGTGAAGAGGACTGGGCATATAATTATATTCATGCCAAATATGAAACTGCTAAGGGAGTAGAAATGCACCCATTCACCATTTATCTCAGAAATACCCGCTGATTAACTAGAATAGGAGACACAGTGAAAACCTCAGCCAGTACCCATCTGGAAACAGAAATTCTATCACTGTAGTTTCAAAATTAAGGAAAACCATTAGCTAACATACTCATATGGACAAAACCCAACCTACTAACCAGACTAAAGTTTTTCCTATTACCCACCAGCTAATAAGGAGTAGCATTTTCTAGAATGCAGAAGGAATAGAGTATGAGCCATCACTGGAATTAAACACTGTTCTGTATTCCCCATTCTCACAAGTTTCCATCCTAATGAAGAGACTGAGATGGAACAGACAACCAAACTCCAGCCTGTCCGTTCACATAAGCCCCAACCTCACCTAAATCCACACATCCTATCTATTTATCTGACATCCACTGAACTGCCTTCAAACTTGAATCAATTCTACCCAAAACTATAAAACTTTGAAGCACTCTCTGAAACGCTCTCAGCCATGTTTCAGATGACAAGTTTCTAGGCCCTGTGATCAGGGCCTAAGCAGTGATAAAGGTTAGACAAAGAGGCCTCCAGTGAAATACTGCTGCAGCTATCGCTTTCGCATTAAAGAAAGGTGTCTCAGGACATACTGCCAGTGACCTCTGGCTCCCATTCTACTCAGCAAAGGTGTGAAAGTTTCTTTTGGGAACTGAGGAGCTGGCAATTAGCACCAACATTAACACCGAAATTCTTGTTTACTATCAGAATACTGAGTTTTAGTATGTGAAAAACTTAGAAAACCGGTCATAATACTTGTATATTTTCAGGTGGAAAAGCCAAAGTAAAAGAAAAAGAGAGTAAGAGCATCTGAGAAGTGTCACCAAGACTGTGACCACTTCTCTACTTTCTAGAACACAAACTGCTCAGTCTTTGCTCATCGTACAGTGCTCCACAGGGTTTTGTGTTTTGTTTTGAGACAGTCTTGCTGTGCAACGCTGAATGGCCTGGAAAGCACTATGAAGCCAGACCTGGCCTCAAACTCTCAGCCATCCGCTTGCCTCTCAGGTGCTGGGACCACCAGCATGTACTGCCACACCCAGCCAAAAAATTCTTTTAAAAGAACAATTATGGGGCTGGAGACATGGCTCAGTGGTTAAGAGCACCAGTTGCTCTTGCCGAGGACCCAGGTTCGGTTCCTAGCACCCACATGGCAGCTAACTGTCCATAACTCCAGTTCCAGGGGATCCGACACCCTCTTCTGACCTCCTTGCAGCACTGTATAACATGCGTGCACTCAGTACTTGTTATACATAAAATAAAATAAAAAATTAAAAAGACCCATTGTTTCAGCTGTGCAACTGTGACTATATAGCAAGAAAATGAAACCTGTGAACCTTCCGCACAATTTATCAAAAGGTCCTTAGCAGTCACCTCTTGGAAGTCTGGAAACTCTACTATGATGTTTTAAAAAAGGATTTCTTCTTTCTCATCAAGAGTTAGAGATGACAGATGACTGACAGGTAGATACAGATATATCAGATAGAGATGATAAATCTGAATGAATATACACAAGACAACAAAGAAAGACAAGTCAAGGAATTTCACAATGCCCTTACACATGTAGGTTAAGGACAGATTTAATGGCCTAGACCAGAGATTCCCACAGACATTTCAATTATTCCGTTCCCCAGAAAAGGGCAGAAAAATATTTAATCCCCAGAAGCTGCTGAGTCCTATAAAGTACAAGTCACAGAGAAAGACCTAGAGAAATTTAACAAGTCTCTTCCCACCCAAAACAATAAAATAAAACTTAAACTACAGTTGTCTTTCTGCTCCAAAACTAAATAACTCACCTGATCAACCACAGATCTACCATTGTGGATATTCTCTTTTCCTGATGTTCCAAGGAGACGGAGCTGTGATCTAGAGCAGAGCTCAGGCATCAGGTTCCAGGCCCCCAGCTTCGGCCATGACGAATACTATAACCTCTTAATTCTTCTCTTTAAAAAAAAAATAACAAGAATAAGAATTAAAGAAATTAACTGATGCTAACAGTTTACTCCAATGATAAAGATATAACAGATAAATAGTCTTTTTCAAAGTAACGCTTTTGGGGGCTGCTTCTTGGAGCCAGCTTCAGGTATACTAAGCAACTGGAACAGAACTTGTAGAAAACGAAAAATAAAAAGAGCTTGAAATATACCAAATCTCAATAACAGCTCAATCATTAATTTGAATCTAAATATAACTCAGTTCTGTTCTGGAAACAGAACAAAACATGACCTAAAGGATTTCTAGAGAATTTCCAAAATTCTCTAGAAAAAGTGTTCTGTATCTATTTTCAACAGGATAAAAACAGGAAAGCTTTTCTAAGTGGAATACTCAACCAGGTATTTTTGTTTTGTTTTTGTTATTTTTATTATTTTTAGGTGTATGCATGTATTGCCTGCATGCACGTATGCGCACCCATGTTGTGCAATGCCCATGGAGGACAGAAGAGGCCATCGGATCCCCTGGAACTGGAGTTATGGACAGTTGTTAGCTGCCATGTGGGTGCTAGGATTTGAACCAGGTCTTCTGCAAAAACAATCAATATTCTTAACCACTGAGCCATCTCTCTAGTCCTCAGCCACATATTTTAATTAACCTAATTACATTTCAATTCCTGGCATGTTCCAATTAACTGTAGTTTCACTACTAGATTAAGATGTCCTTTTCAGAGTATGTACGATCTAGTTAATTAGGCTATTAGGACTGCCCATCTGCAACAACAGTACCAGAAAAAATGACAAGCAGATATCTATGATAGAAAGTGTCACTTTATTATAAGCTTAAACTAGATATTCCGAAATTGATACTATTTTAAGGAAAGTATTATAATTAAGAACTGATACAATTATCAAACCTTGTGAACTAGAGTTGCTGTGTAGTAAAAATAGATTACTTTTAAAATTGATGATGTACTGATCTACTTAAGTATAGCCAATAGAATCTAAATAAGTACTACAATGATTTGATACCTACTATACTCATTCTTAAAATAACTTTTCTTAGTGTAAATGTTCTTCTGTAATAAGGTAATTTTATTTTTTCTTCTCCCTGAACTTACATTCCCATTCATCTTTTTGAGACAGGGTCTCCCTGTAGCCCTAGCTGGCCTGGATTCACTACAGAGACCAAGCTGGCCTCGAACTCACAGAGATCCACCTGCCTCTGCCTCTCGAGTGCTGGGATTAAAGTTGTGCGCCACCACTCCGAGCCTCTAATATATACATTTTTAACCTTGAAAATCCTTATTGATTTTCCTGTGGTAAAGCATATGTTAATATAAATTTTACACTTAGGAAGAGATTATTGTTGCTTAGCAAGGAATAGAGCTACCTAAAAGACCTCTCCTAAATATGTCTTGCAAATTCTTGCAAAAACACAAAGTAGATACACTACCTATATATACTATCTCTCCCTACATGTTACAAGTTCTATATTAACATGAAGAAGGAAAGAACAGGGAAAGCAAGATCCTACAGAAAGTAAGCCTGACTGGAAAACTGACTCTTATACCAAACACATCAACTGACCACGTCACTGCCCTCATCCTGAAGTCCACAAGCAAAACAGGGCATGTTTCTAGATAGTAGTGGCCCTATGCGCATATGGAAGTTCCAGCCACATCGTTAAGACATTTTTCAGCAGAATTCACAACAGAAACATCACCTACTATATTTGCCAGTTAAAAATATCTGCCACTGTTCTTTTCACAAAAGAACAGGTATTTACAGCTGAGTTGTACCAGCATCAAATACAGGCTCCTGTAGACATTTTTCTTAAAAGTCAGATACACTGAAAAAAGTTAACTACATCTAACTATATCTCACTCAGTCTTAGAATACCACAATCTTTTCTTACCTTTTGAAGTGTTTCACCTAGTACATGATTCCCAAGCATCTGCATTTATGTGTCATCACTGTTAACGGTCATGTTACATTGAGACTTCAGGTAATTATTTATATGGTTGTGCTAGCACAACTTGGTATCTGTGAAGGGAAACCACAATGGAGTCACTACAGCTACATTCTTGTTCATGGGTTTGTGGATATAAACAGTATTAAAACACATTTAGCCCACTTCATTTTTCTAATAAAATGCACAAATAATTCCTTATATTAGCCATGATACATGTTAACTTCAACAGCCATGATACATGTTAACTTCAACAGAGTAAGATCATTTGTTAGCATCTATCACAAATCTGTAAATATTAATTAAAAAATTCTAAATATAATTCTAGATTCAAATTCCAGCAGATTACAAACTCCTTAGATTCCTTTACTACTACCAATGCAGATGCATAATCATTTATAGAAGTCTGCAATTACTCAGACATTAATTAACAGGATAACATTAAGAAGCCAACATATAATATTTAGAATGAAGTACTGGGGGACTTGCAAGATGGCTTAGTACATGCCAAGCCAAGCCAAGCCTGACAACCTGAGTTCAATCCCCAGGGGATCTCTGGTTCTTGCTGACCAGCCAGCCAGTCAACAGTCAATCAGCAAGGCTCCAGGTTTAGTGAAAGATTTTATTTCAAAAAATAAGGTGAAAGCAATCAAGGAAGACGCACCAACATTGACCTCTGGTCTCCACATGTACCGTAACATAAGATATACACAAACATAAAAAAAGGGGGAAATTTTTTAATTTCCCTTAAATATGTCTTTAAAATATTTGATAGGGGCTACAGGTATAGCCTAGTAGTAGAGCACATGCCTAGGATGCAGGAAGCTGAAACTGATTTCTAGTAACATACATACACACACACACACACACACACACACACACACACGCACGCATACTTGTTCTTCTAAAGTAATCATTCAAAAACAAAGTAGTATCATATGCCTTTAATTCTAGCACTTTGGAAGCAGAGGCAGGCAGATCTCTGTGAGTTTGAGGCCAACTTGGTCTACTCACTGAGTTCCAGGCCAGGCAGGGCTACACCGTGAGACCCTCTCTCAATCAATCAATTAATTAATTAAACAAACAAGTAAGTAGATAAACAATGTTCTTAGCACAGATCATAGCCTGTACAGGCCTTATTAATCAGATGTAAATAGGAAACTAGTGATTAAATACAGAGAAGTTGAGTGTGGTAGCTCACACCTATACTCACAGCACTCAGAGTCCATGGCAGGAAGACACTGAGTTCCAGGCCAGTCTGGGCTATATAGACCCTGTCTCAAAATAACAAATTTAAAACCACTGAGGAGCTAGGGATATAGTTCAGTGACAGGATACATGCTTAACACATATCAGGAACTGAGGACAAACTGCAGTACCTTAAGAAAAAAACAAAAACATAAAAATAAACTGAAATACAGCTGTGCAAACATTTCTAACCTCTTGTTTAAAAAAATATATTATTCTTATTTTATGTGTACGTGTGTATTGCCTGCATGTAGGTAAGTGCACCTGTGTCGTGCAATGCCTGCGGAGGACAGAAGAGACTGTCGGATCTCCTGGAACTGGAGTTACAGATAGTTGTTAGCTGCCATGTGGATGCTGGGATTCGAACCCAGGTCTTCTGCAAGAACAACCAGTGTTCTTAACTACTGAGCCATCTCTCCAGCCCTCTAACTTCTTGTTTAAAAAAAAATTTAGACTAGCCAGGTATGGTGGTGCACACCTTTTGTCCCAGCACTTGGGAGGCAGAGGCAGGTGGATCTCGGTGAGTACAGGCCAACCTGGTCTACTTGGAGAGTTCCAAGTCAGCTGGGGCAACAGGGAGACCCTGTCTAAAAAAAGGGGGGGGGGCTCTAGTGGGGGTAGGGAGGCTATGGGAGGGTGCCATCTGGGAAGTGGATGTATAGTTGGTTGAATAAGATGGTTTGGGATGTTCTGTGTGATACACACACACACACAGAGAAAAAAAAAACAAGAAATTTTAAATAATGTATTATATTTGAGGAGGAAGCATGGAAATTTACATCATGCTAATTAGTAGAGGTGATAAACATTACCACTGAAATCTACCCGATGACTTTATAGACATACACAGGTGCCAAGGATCCAAGTGCAACTGATTATGACTAGTAATAATCAGATACATACAGATTAGAGATGCATGCACCAACATCTCAGTGTTAGTAGCAAAAACAATGAGTCTTTCTGCAAGGAACAATATATTCTAAAATGAAATGGAGATCTTTTTTAAAGGTTAAAAACTCATTCAATTTTATGTCTTACAGGGCTTATACTGAGTTCAATATTGTATAACTGTATTAATTCAACTGTGATCCTAGAAACTTGCACCCACTTGTGAAAGAGATGTACTCTTGCTCTGGAACATGTTACTGAATATGTTAAAGCTGTAATGAAATGCTTCTTCTAACCCTAATCCTAGCACTTGGGAGGTAGAGGCAGAACGATGAAAGTTCAAGGCTATCCTCACTTACACAGAGTTCAAATCCAGCCCAAACTATAAGACACCTTCCCTCAAAATCAATAAAGAATCCCAGAGAGCAGAGGCAGGCAATTGTTTTTCCTTCTCTTCTAACAAAGTAATTAAACCAGCCCAAACACTCACATCACCTAAATTTGTGGTCCTCATTTATTCACTACACATGCCAAAGTTAGGCATTCCACAAAAAAACAAAAAGCTACATTACTTTCTGGAGTAAACTACTTTTAATTGTAACAAATTTCAACAATTTTTTCTCATTTGAATTATTTTACATTTTTGTAACTTAAGTTCTACAAGTTTGAAAAACAGCTATTTGTCTTTCTAAAGGCGTTCAAAACAGAAACTATGGAAGCCCTATTCCTAAAGCCTTATTTTCTTTACTCTCCAAAACAAAGCTTTGCTTGTTTCCATGTACTAATAAAATTCACTGACTATTCAGGCCTTCAACAGCAAATCTAAAAACCAATCTTCCCTACAAAGAATGATCTTTTCTACTATTTGCCATCTAACACTGGCACTGCTGTGCTAGACTCCAGGATCTCAGATTCATGACACATGAGAGGCCTTCAAAGGACTACAGAACCTCTACAGAGTGTCAGTCCTGGTCATGAAGAAAAGGGATAAGCAACAGCACATTATAGGAAATAGGACTGCAGAGTCTAACTAGATGGAGGTTAGGTGGCAAGATACTACAGTACTTTGTATTATGTCTGTAAGAGCTTAGAAAACTCAAATGAAAGGTTATACATAGACACGTATTTAACATCAGATTCTTTTGTTGTTTTAAGTGAAAATACTAGTATGTGCTGTAGAGCATAAAGAAGCCAGATAACAACAGTCAAAGATATACATACCTTTCCTAGGCAGTCTTTCATAGTATTTGCCAGAAAAAAAGAAAATGCTTACTTGGTACAAATAAAGCATGACCAGAGAGAAAAGACTCATCTCCCAGTCCCGGAAGTGCTCAGAATCACAGGTTCAGCTGGATGGCACACAAACACAGCTATTTTTATAGTCAGACAGATAGGAGATGAAGTGTTATTTCTGTCATCAACTCCTAAGTGACTAAAACCAAGCCACTTTGCCTATATTTTATTTCTTCATCTGTAAAATGTGGACACACTACTTGCCACTATCTCAGAGTTATCGTGAAGTTCAGAGGAGATCATGTCTGTGGGGTACTTTCGTGTACTTGTTTCTATTCTAGACCAAATCAATTCAGAAATTCAGATTCAGCAGTCTGGACACCAATATATAAACCGTCATTTTAATTAGGCACCTCAGGCCAACTCAAATCGGGGCTGCTGCTCAAGAATGACGCTGTACGTTACATCACTGTCTTCTATACTTTATAGTGTTTATAAACATTAAACTGAGAAAGCGGGCATGGTAGCATTTGCCTTTAATCCCAGTACTGGGGAGGCAGAGGTAGGTGGATGTCTGTGAGTTTAAGGCCATCTTGGTCTACATAGTGAGTTGTAGGCCAGCTGGGGCTATAGGGGAGACCCTGTTTCAAAAAGACAAAAACAAACAAAAAAAGGGGCAAAAAAAATGTTCATTGTATCAAATACATAGGAGATTCAGATTTAAACAAGTCATGACCCATCCTTTTAGAAACCCTGCACTAGATCATTCCTCCTAAATAGCTTTCAGATTGCTTTCCACCTCTCTAATACTGTCACTGGTGATTATCCTTAGGTCTTGATCATCAGTCACTTGAATTACCACGGGAGATGAGCCCATGAGCATCTCTGCTGGGGATTATCTTTATTGTGTTCATTGAAGTGGGAGGACTCCCACAAGTTGATGTGATGGTACCCCACTCAGGAGACCCTGGTATGTACTGAAGAAGAATGAAAGCTGAGCAAAGGCACGCACGTAGTCACTACTCTCTTCCTCTGACTGGGGACATGTCACCAACTTCTCCAAGCTCCTGCTACTGTGATTTCTCTGCCACGGTGGACGTTAACCTGGACCCATGGGCCACATGAACTCTTTCTTTCTCCTGTAAGTTGCTTTTGTTGGCATTCTATCACAGCAACAGGAAAACAAACTAAGACATTAAATGCCATCTCTTCAGACCTTCTGCTTTAAGTCCTGTTCTAAAATGCAGTGCACAAAAAATCACATAAAATACTTATCTGACTCTATCACTCTCCTTTCTAAAACTCTTCTAAAGGACTTCTCTGGCCATGAGACAGTAAGTGTATGCTCCTATTTGAACCTACTAAAAACTGAGCAAAAATGTAAGTGGATTATTTTTAGACTTTAGAAACCAGATACTACAGGTCAGGGATCAATCAACAAAAAAAGTAATGCGTGTCTCTTATTCACTGCCTTGGCTCACTGTTTCAAGAGTTTCTAGGTGCCAGACTTGGTGGCCCACACCTTAAATCCCAGCACGTTAAGAGGCAGATGCAGGCGATCTCTGTGAGTTCAAGGCTGGCTAGGACTATAGAGAGAATCTGTCTCATAAAAACAACACAGTGTTTCTAGGCTGCAGAGTAGGGAAGTTAATCACAGACAACCAGCTCACTAGTTTCCCAGAGTTAGGACAATAGTGAGGACTCTGTGGAGAGGTCATGGTGGTTAGAGTTCACAGAATAAAATAAAAGGGGGAGAGACAAAGGTATCATTTCAACCTTGGCAGAAAAGAGCTCAACATCAAAGAGAGACATAATCATAAGAAAAAGCATGCAGAAAAATGTTAATAACTGAAAAGTGGTATACAAGTCCTGGTTTATAGGGTTTCCAGTGCCTGGAGTGCTCTTACAATTTCAAGCTATGGCATTACTACAAGCACAAATGGAAAGAAGTACACAGCAACACATGGCACAATTATATAGTATCTCTGCCACAGAAACACAATATATGTAAATTACTGTAAAAGCACAATAGTCATATGTAACATAGGAGGTAAAATAACTTTAATACTCACTTTTTTATGTTTCTCTTTCTTCCCTCAACCCCAATTTAAAACTTAATTTTACCAAACTACACCATTTTTATAAATTATATAAAATAACAATTTAAAATTTCTCAGAGGGGCTAGAAAGATGGATCGGTAGTTAAGAACACTGGTTGCTCTTGCAGGACCCAAGTTCAGTTCCCAGCACCAAAATGGCAGCTAAGAATTGTCTGTAACTCCATATATGTGGTGCACTTACATACACACAGGCAAAAGGCTCATATACAGTAAATGAATAAGCGAAATTTTTAAAAATTTTGAAAGAATTAAACAAATGCCATAATGAAGCACATTACTTTATATACTAAATAAATAAGAACTAGTCTCAGAGCTGGGCGTGGTGGCACATGCCTTTAATCCCAGCACTTGGGAAGCAGAGGCAGGTGGATCTCTATGAGTTCAAGGCCAGGCTGGTCTACATAGTGAGTTCCAGGACAGCTGGGGCTACAGGGAGACTCTGTCTCAAAAAGACCAAAAAGAAAAAAAAGAGAACTCGTCCCCAAAATCTCAACATTTAATTTTTTTTGTCTTTTTGAGACAGGGTCTCCCCATAGCCTCAGCTGACCTGGAACCTGCTATGTAGACCAGGCTAGGCTTGATCACAGAGATTCGCCTCTGTCTCCTGAGTGCTAGGATTAAAGGGCTACACCAATATGCCTGGTACATCTGGACATTAAATTTTTTTTTCCAAATTTACTTTTATGTGTATGAGTGTTCGTTTGTATGTATGTAAGTGCACATGTGTCATGCAATGCCTGCAGAGACCAGAAGAGAGCATCAGATTCCCCTGGAACTGGAGCTACAAACTCGTTAGCCACCATGTGGGTGCTGGGAACCAAACCTGGGTCCTCTGCAAGAGCAGCTGGTGCTCTTTAACTGCTGAGTCATCTCTCCAGCCCCATCCCAACATTTCTAAAATTGTCTCTAACAATCAGCTGTAGTATACCACAGCTCCTACCTTATCCAGAAGTAGGAACAGATTGTATACCTAACTAGCCAGAGTAGAAAACCTCTGATTTCCTAGGACATCAGATATGACCAGAAGGCAAACCAGGTATGGTGGTGCACATTTGTAATCCCAGCACTGAAGTCAAGAGGACTGTCCACAAAGGCCTGCCTGGGCTACATAGTACTCAGAAGGGCATCATCTCAATAGTAGGGAAAATCAAGCTGTAGAATAAAAACTCTGAGGCAGGTATGACAGCGCTTGTCTATAATCCCAGCACTTGGGGGGATGGGCAGAGGCAGAATGACTACTGAAAGTTCCAAGTAAGCCAGGGCTACAGAGCTAGACTGTCTCAAAAAACCAACAAATAAAATAAAAATTTTAAAAAGCTAGGGGGTGAGGGGAATACATGCTTTTAATCCCAGTACTAGGGAGGCAGAGGTCAGACTGGCCTACATAATGAGTTCCGGGCCAGACAGGATTACATAGTGAGACCCTGTCTCAAAATAAAAAACAAAAATAAACAGTGCCCCGGTCTTGCAAAGGTAAAAAACAAACCTTTAAAAGTAGTGGCTAGCTAGATGGCTCAATAGGTAAATGTACTTGCCACATAACTCCAATCACCTGAATTTGATCCCTGGAATTCACATAAGGGTAAAAGGAAAGATTCAACTTCACAGAGCTCTTCTCTGACCTCCACATGCCCAACCTCCAGTAATAATACATTTTTAAAAATTAAATTATTTTTATTTTATGTGTACAGGTGTTTTGCCTGCATGTAGGTAAGTGCACCCCTGTCATGCAATGCCCACAGAGGCCAGAAGAGGGCATCGGATTCCCTGAAGTGGAGTTATGGGTGGTTGTTAGCCAACTGAAGTTATATGTGGGTGTTGGGAATCCAACCCAGGTCCTCAGGAAGAGCAGCCAGTGCTCTTAACAGCTGAGCCATCTCTCCAGCTCCAATCTAAGAAACAAGATGCTTTTCCAAGGATACAGGTTAAAGCTAAACATTCTGTGGTGCTGTCGGTCCAGGCCAACAACAGTGACTACAGCTCTCAGGTGATGCAACTGCCAGGTCAGTGTAGGCCAGGGTGAGCAACAGTGGGCTTAATTTCCAGTAGATGGCCAGAAAAGCTTAGCTCCCACACGGAAGGCCCTTGTCTATTAAAAATGTTTCTTGGGTAAAGAGCACACATAGTAAACATTTTCTTGAGTCATATCAAAGCCTGGCCAGGGAAAACAAGAGAGAGACTGATGCCCCTGCCCATCTGTGCATCAAGTCCAGGCCCTTCTTCCTGAAACTTACTCCACACATGATCCTGTTTCCAGTGGACTAAAGCCATCCAGTACTACTCATCTCCCAACCCTTGGCTGATGGCAGGAAATGCCATAAACAAATAGCTGACCACCAACCTTTGACCACTAGGAAAACAACACATCTTCGAGCCAGGCAAATAGTGCAGATAATGACTCTGGCCTTAGTAAGCGTCCAGGAGTCCCACCTCTTCATCTGTAAAATGAAGGGATTAATTTTTCAAACAAACATGTTGGTTTGTAGAATATATTAAGGAAATAAATCACATTATGAACATTACTGGCTCCCCTTTATCTTTATCCTCTCTGCACTTCTAATCCACAAGGGAAGCACTAATCTAGCTTTCAACATCAAATTAGTTTTTGTCAATCTCTGCAGTCTACATAAATGATATCACACATCAAATACACGGAAGGCTGCACATTTTAATGGGCCACAAAGGACACCTGGTGCTTCCATGTCAACAGGATTCCATGTCAATTAAGATTCTAGTCTCTATCTCCCCAGCAGCTCACTGTCTTAGCTCCATCTGCCTGTGTGATAAGATACTGACATAAGACTCAAGAGAGAAGGTTTATTTTAGATCAAGATTAGAGGTTACAGTCCATCGTTGCAGGACAGTTAAGGAGGCAGAAACCTGACACAGCTAGTCAGGCGCCTAATCAGGAATATGAAAGGTAGAGAACGCACACATGCACATGCTTAGCTCCATCTCTCTCCAACATAGGGGACCATGGGTGCATGGGGGTGGAATCTTCCAGCCTTAATGCAATCAAGACAATCTCCCACAGGCCAACCTGATCTAGACAACCCCTCACCAACATTCTCATCCCAGGGGACCCCACACTGTGCCAAGTTGACAGTTAAAACTAACCAAATCCAAACTGCACATCAGAACTTTCAACCATAGATAAGTATCAGAACCATGTGTGACTGTGAAGAGAACATGAGTTTCTAATGCCATAGATGTAGAACTCAGTCTAAGTGCAATACAGTTTGGTAATTTTTACAGTAAGTACGGTATTACAAAGAAAAGTGAATGGGGCGGGCTGCGGTGGTGCACAATTTTAATACCAGCACATGGAAGGCAGAGGCAGGCGGATCTTTTGAGTTGAAGGTCAGCCTGGTCTACACTGTGAGTTCCAGACCAGTCAGGAATACATACCGAGATTCAAAAAAAATAGAAAATATAGCAAGTCCCCAAAGATAAAGTCACGTATGGTGGTGCACACCAAATCCTAGCACTTGGGAGTTAGGGGCAGAAAGATCTCTGGGAAACCAAAGCCAGCCTGGTCTACCTAGGGAGTTCCATGGCAGCTGGGGCTACAGGGAGACCCTGTCTCCAATGAGAGCAAGAGAGAGAAAGAGAAAAAGTGCATGGTGGCATGTATTCAGGAGACTGAGCTGAGGCAGGAGATTAAGGACTTCAAGGCCAGCAGCCTGGGTTACATAATGAGACCTTACCTCATTTTTAAACAGTTGTCCGAGGTAGGGGAGTGTGAACAGAAGCCCTAAAACAGGGAAAGAGTGGGCACCAGAGGAGAACTGGTGTGAGGCCAAAGAGACTGAAGCCACTGAGCAAAGGGGTCAAGTAGCAGCCGTGAAGCAAGTGTTCAAGATGCAGGCACCAAACCATGAAGGGAACTTTGAAGGCTATGATAGAAATCTGACTTTTTTGACATTTTATTTACTTCTTAATTGTTATATATTTGGATGATTTATTCTATTAAAGAATGACAATCTAATATTTTATTTTGAAAGATCATCTGGCTGCTGTATGACCGGGAACCTATAGTACAGTCCCCACAGTAGTACATATGGCACGGCACAGTACAGTACAAAGAGCAGAGCACAGAACACTACGGAAGCACAGCACAACAGCGCAACAGAATGTGGGATGGGGGATAAAGTTTAAGCAGAAAATAATCATAATTCAATTCTCTCACTCATATTAACCGGGCCCGAGCATGGTCCCAGCAGTGTTTGGGGCTTTGGGAATGTGAACGCAAACAAAAACCACAAGCTTTCAGGGCTTGTACTTCACAGGGACAAACAAGATACCTGTTACCAGGTATTTTGAGTAGATACTATAATTTATGATGTTTCAGTTTAAGACAGAGTCTCCCTAGGTAACTCGGTCGGCCTCAAACTGGCTCCCCCTTCCTCAACCTCCTGATTGGTGGGATCACAGGTGTGTTCCACCAGGCCCAGCTTTGTGAGCGCACCATTTTACTTGCTTTCTCTCAGAAGTCAGCTGTTCTGAGGTAAACACGTCCCTTCAGGCTATCAATGCCTTTGCTGCCACCTCCGCTACTTTCCCTGTGTTTCCCAGTCTCCTCTGTTCCTTCGGAAGGGACTTGATTCCTCTAATTCTACTCCTAAGTATTACTTTGGTTTCACTCTACTAATACCAACTTGTGCTAGACAGAAAGGCACAAGAGCTTCCTCTAGTCTCCCCGAAACAGCACACTCCTGACTATCTATCACATCAGCATAGTCTTGCTTTCTGCTCCACAGTAACTACCAAAGCTGTTTGGGACAGGGTCTCACTATTTAGCCCAGGCTGTCCAGACACTCGGGCTGGCCTCTAACTCACACATCTGCCTACTTCTGCCTCCTCCCCAGTGCTGGAGTAGCTTTCTCTACACAGAATGTCCTGACATCCCCCCATATCCAATTTACCTAAGTAAATCTCATTCTACCCCTTTCAATTTCCTAACAATAACTCTGAATGTTTCCTAATACGTATTAAATGCTTAGTATTTAAGGACCCAGGCCAATGAGACGGCTCAGCAGGTGAAGATGCCACCAAGCCTGACCACCTGTGTTCTTTCCCTGCATCCCGCATGGTGGAAGGAAAACAAACTTCCCCAAGTTGTCCTGAACTCCACATAGGCCCCGGTGCATGTACGAAAACACACACAAAAATGCACATAAACGCGTGCGTGCACACACACACACACACACACACACACACACACACACCCAAGTGTAAAAGTTAAAAATATATATTAGGGTTGAAGAGATGGCTCAGTGGTTAAGAACACTGGCTGCTCTTGCAGAGGACCCAGGTTTGAGTCCCAGCACCCATATGGTGGCTAACAATTGTCTGTAACTCCAGTTCCAAGGGATCTGATACCCTCTTCTGACCTCCATGGGACCTGCATGACACAGGTGCACTTACATACATGCATGCAATATAATCATTATACAAAAAATAAGAAAAAATTTTTTAATTATTTTAAGGGCCACAAGCATTCTGCATCTCATTTGTTACACCAATTACTATGAGAAATCCCAGTTTATTGCTAAGACACTGAAAAGTTATTTAATCAAAGTTCAAGATCAGAGAACGTGTGATCTAAAACCTAGAGATGACTTTTATTGTGTGGGGCTGGAGGCTGAACTCAGGGTCTCTAAAATGCTAGACATGCATTCTACCACTTTACTCCTCACCCCTTAGAGATCACACTTTAAGCTTTCAACCATACCCATATAATCCTTTCCACATGTTTCCTTAAGGATCAGCCGTCCTCTCTATCTGTGACACCGGCTTACCCTTGTGCTGGTCTCCGTAGAAGGATACAGTATTTCCTTCTCAGGCCTCCAGCAAGTACTATGAAAGAAGACATAGGCTTCCTCTACCACCATATCCCAGCACTATATACAGTACAGTGCTGGGCAGCTCGTCTACTGATCAACAAATGAAATGCAATATCCAACAGTTAAGATGTGAAGGGGAGAGGACAGACGGCAGTGTGCATGCCTGTCATCCTAGCACTCCAGAGACTGAGGCAGGATGACAGCCAAGATTCTGAGGCTAGCCTTGGCTACACAATGAGTTCTAGGTCAGTCTAATCTATACAGGAAGCCCTTCCCTTTAAAAGGG